CGTGATTATCTCATTTATATCGTATCATATAATTTTTATGTTGACATCACATTTGTTTGTTCTTTTATTCGACCCGTATCAAATAAATTATGGCTTAGCAGCGTTTTTCTTACCCAAGGAAGTCTGGAAACCAATGAACTCACATGCACGCGATTATACTTGTACGGTATAAAAAAAAATTTAATGCGATGTAAAATGTTACTTTTTGCACAAAATATGCAAATAACGTCGTATTTTGTAATGTTCCAGAAAACTCTATCCATGTAATTACAAGCAATACAAAGTTTATTCGATATTATATTGTTATACGTTAATTTATGAATACATAGGAAATGGAGGCAGCGCAGAGGGGTTGTTATGGTAGCGGGAGTAAATAAACTCGGGAAAAATGAATGGTCGCAGTACTATAACATAGACTTTATCGGGGAGGGGGAATCAAAGCCCCTTGTGATAAAAAAATGTAATAAAAGGGTAATAATAACGCCTCATAAACACCATTTCTTTTTCCATAATTATTAAGACCAGCAAAGCATCGCCTTTTCCGTCGCTGGCAGCAGAGCCAAACACATAATATTAGGTACGTTGCAGAATATTAGACGCGGACGCGAGGTGAACAGTGTCATAATAGTTATATTAGCTAGGACTTGCTGTTGAAAGTAGGAGGGGAACAGGCTTGCTTAATATCATTATTGGAATAATTTAAATGATGTTATCATTCACTTTTGTGGATTTAATAGAAACGGACATGTGCATCAGAACGTAAGTTAGATTAGGGAATAGATCGTAATTATATCATACCTCGAATATTTTATTTATGAAAACATGAGAAAATGCGTTAAGGCGCTCGCCCGAGGTGAATGAGTGCAACGAACACACGGGCAGGCGGACAAATGGACAGACGGACGAACGGACAGACGGACGAACAGACATACGGACGAACGGGCAAGCGGCCGCTTAGAAAAAGAGTTATTTATCCATCAAGGGCATAAGATATTCAATAATGGCGAGCAACAGAACTTTTAAAGGCTTTCGGCCTGACAGCTTCCTTTCGCCTGAGGTCATTAGAACCACATAACGCTCGTGTTACGTACAAGGTTTTCTTTTATACGCAATTTTAATGATAAATGATTTAATGATTCAGATTTACTTATTTACTAATTAACTAGATGTTAATTTGACTCTGATTGTCTTTTCATATTTCTCTCCCACAATTCCCTTCATAAGAGAACAAATTGTGGCGTCGTGTCGGTTATTTAATATGAATCAGTTCCCCTGCTTGGGACAGCTAATTGTGATGACGCTTGCTCAGATCCTGCGGCATACCTTTTTTTCAGTAGAGTGGAATGGAACTTCGTTCAAAATAATCACAAGAAAACATTTGTTAAAATAAGAATTTTAACATAATTTTTATTTTAAGCCTTAAACATTTACAAAATAATTATGAAACTTAACGAAATCGTTACTTGAATAAATATAGAAATAAACGTACGATAAAATGTTCATATTACTTTAAAAGATGTTAAAAGGTCAATGTGCGGCCACGCCAAATCATACATAAATATTTCCTTAAATTATTCCCTGTTCTTTCAGGAGTAACCAAGAGTCCTTTTATATTTACCCAATTGGCTTGAAGAGCATTTAAACCCTTGCGCGGTTTTACGTCGGAAGACTTTACCGTTGCCTTGATCGACGGGGTGCTCCGTCGCAACGAACGCGATCGTTGCCCTGTCTTCCACTGGAGGGGCGCGGCCCATTGACAGCAGCTCAGACGGCAGTCCCCACCACACGCTACGCCAGATGTCATTAACACACTCTTTCTCGTCCTATTCTCAAATGAGTGCGGCGGGTTCTGAATAATTCACCAAATGAACAGCAGTCATATTTTAACGGTGAAGCCAGATAATGTACCTAACTATCAAAATTAACATTAAAAAGTTCCTGATTACAACAAACGCACCTAGCACTTTGACTTCATCATGTCAGTTAACACACTCAGACGTTCCATTGCGCTCCGAGCATCGATATGCTAAACGATCTCTTCACACGTTACAAGACAACATTACTAAACGATCGCGTGCGGGATAAATACCGTCTCTCATTTCGAGATTCACTCAAATCGACGTTCGGACACTGTCTCCTGTCTGCGATCCGCCCAACTCAACTCTTGCTCTCTCCTCCTGCCCTCTCTTTCCAAATGCCTAGTCCCTTGTTCTCCTCGCCTATTCGATTACGCGCGGTGAGTGGTCAAAACCAAATGCCAATAAGTTTTTCTTGGCGAATCTCTGCAGGCGTCCCGGATGTTTCAGAGTGGAAATTATTCTAGTGCTCTTATGTATCCAAGTCATAATTCTCGTCCTTTGCAGTCGGGAATTTTCCATTTTACGCAACACCGCCCACGCACTCGTCAGTACATCGGGTCCAGAGGGGGAGGAGTGAGAACTGAGAACGTACTAGATTCTGCAAGAGTCACGTAAACAGATGGCGCGGCAACGGGGTGATGGATGGAGGGGAAGGGGCCTTGGCTGTTCTCGGAACAGCGCTCTCCACATACAAAGAACAACGCATTTCCTAATGTTTCGTAATGTCCAGTGAATTTATCAAAAAATGCTTAAAATTATGTATTAAATAACCCCTCAATCTTTGTACCGCCACAATATGGCATCATTCAACTACTTTCATAATTTGCTCGTAACCACGATCCTTAATATTCAGGTAAGTGCATATCAAGCATCTTATCGAAAGCAATAACAAGCAAATAACGTATGAGTAAAAAACAAACATTTTTTCGTCATCAGGTTTATCGTGATTAGGTATAAAATATGTATTTTCGCTGATGTCTTGAAATCGAATTTCAGCCTCGTTTGATTACTCTCAGTACGGTCCATATATAACATTGCATATACGCACATTTACGAGAAATTAAAAAAAATGTAGTTGACGGAGAGGGACGAAAAATTTGTGACTTCCACAGTTTCTGAAAGACGGTTTTGCCAGCACAGCATCGGCAGAAATTTTCAAAATGTCATTGGGGATATCCTCTAAGGTTACAATATCCTTTCTAATTCGCTATTTCCCCGCATCAGACAGATCAATTGGTAAATACAAGAACTGGTAAACATCGTGGGCACGTTTTAGGGTCCACAGGCTATTTCTTTTGTCCTTTAAATGGTGTCGGGTAGCTCTCTTTAGTGAAGCTAAAATGCACACTCTTCCCATTTCTAATTTAAAGCAACGGGAGCATACTCACTGAGTGTTTTGCCTCACTGAGGGCTGCCTGTTGGCAAGGGAGTAACCTCCTTTGGGAGAGGAACTAAGAGAAATAAAAACACCAAATGTATATTATTTTCATTTATAAATAAAATATTAATGTGAAAAAGCATTTAATAATTACATTTAATAACAATATGCTGTTAACTTTATTGAATTTTCATGGTAATGAAACAAAAATATTCATTATTTTAAAAATTAAACATTAAAATATATTTAATCTATTCAGGTCAAATGAAAATTGGAAACCAGATATGTGTGTGTGTGTGTGTGTGTGTGTGTGTGTGTTTGTTTGTGTGTATACTTTGTCTTGTGTGTGTATACACTCTTAACGTTTATTTATTAAAAGAATGAATGATAGAGAAAATGTGCAAGAGTCATTTCCTTTAAGAGAGTTAAAAAATATATCTTTCACATGCATATAATAATATTTTTATACACAATTCACTCCTAAGAGTTGAAATAGGCATTTCAAAAAATGTTCTATTTCCTTAACACTTTAATTATAACTTTTTCTCCCTTTATGCACAGACAATACACACTTGACACTACATAATTTAATGTAAAACTAGTACAGTTGGAATGAAAGTGATAATATTGTCTCAGCAACACAAATCTTTTGAAATCAAAGGGAAATATTTGAGAATTATGAAAATGACATTTTTGATCTTTTATATGTGTTTATTACAATCACATCCACTATTTCATTATAATTTATATAAAATCAAAGAAAGTAATTTAATTTCCATGAATTTGTTCACTCTTGTATTCAAAATCACTGATAAATTAAAAAGTAGCAGGAAAAAATTCTTATCAAGTGTAGTTCAAATGAATTATTAGACAAAAGAATTTGATTTTTTATACCAAAGAAAGGATTGCTTCATTTACTTCCAAATATATAATAAAATATAAATTGTAAGTGCATACAAACAACTTTAACATGTTCTTTTTTCCCAGACTTTCAGACAATTTTACAAACAAGTTTTGGCACAATATGTTCACTGTCGATACTCTACTCTGGGCAACATAGGTAAAATTACTTACCAGAAATGTATTGATGATTAAATGACCTTCGTTATCATCAATATGTGCCCTTTGATCATCTTTATTTGCATACAAATTGACTTAAATACATGAAATATAAAAGATAATTATGACATTTGAATTGTATAAATTGTGGAATGAAAACCATTTTGTTCACAGCAAAGGCTTTCTGATAATCCCTTCATGACATTATTAAGCTTGCAGCATTATTACATTATATAATCAATTGGTTCTGATGTTTTTGATGTCTGGTTTTCAATTTCATGTTATACCATGATTGAAATTTCCTTTTACAATCGTGCATATATAATTCATTATATGGCAATAAAAGATATTATAGAAATATTTTATCACCAAGTATAATGGATATAGTACAAATATTTTTAGTAGGTACTGATCTAACCTAAATGTTGAGTTAGCATTCGAAAATGTATAGGAAACTTTGGTAAAATCTCTCGTGACACTTCATTCGCAGTCAGTATTTGCAAAAGACTTATGTTCATATTGTACATTCGAGACCTAAAAAACACTTATTTCTCCACAATTTCATTGTAAATGTTGTCACAATTTTCCGAAGGTAGTTGAATTACTCAGAATTTGATATACGATTCTTCACAATTATAATTCAATAAAATTATGCTAACCAACACATTAGGTAATCAGTACAAAATATGAATTTGTTTACTTACCAAATCCTAAGTTTGGTGACAGATGAAAACATGCTAGCACACTCGAACAAAAACACAAATGTAGAAAAATGTATCTTTTGTGAACGAATGAACTCCATTGAATTTCTCCCCTAAATAACAGCACGAGTAGGTAACTTAGTGAACGAACGTTCATTTGATTTTTACAACCATCGATGCTTCTTGTTCCTTGATTTGCTTTCAACTGCGCAAGCAGAGAGAAAGGAGGCAACTTCCTTATTCCATGGTACACCTCTTTTTCGCAAAACAGTTTTTGTTTCTTAATATGGATATAACATACTATTCTATTCAGTAGACGGGAATATAGTTTAAATAGTACGTTCGAAATCAAACAAGCAAAATATAATACAATGGAAATTATCATTTTCCATGTTTTCACGATATCCATGATTGCCAACTTTATGTATTATGAAGATTACAATCTTCAAGGAAGATATAGACAGATCTAGTGTTCGCGAATCGACTCCCAGTGTCTCGAGAACGGAGAACGAAAGCGAACAACGACAGTCTGGGGAACGAACCCACGGGATCTATTCCTTCTTTCATTTGGCGTCTTTCAATTCATGATGTAAATACAACTTTTGATAGATGGCGCGTGTTTAACTTACTGACAAAAATGCCTTTATATTCCGTGAGCTTGTGTAAAGATAGTTTAAATAAAGAGGTTTAATATTTCCTGAGCAAAACAATTTTGTGCTCAAAGAAAAATTATTCAAATACAGAATGATTATTTAGTGTTTTATGCTATGTTCAAAGTTGTGTCTCAGGTTATGTCAAGTGCAGTGCATGTTATGTCCCGACAGAACGTTTAGGATGTTATGTTTGAAAACATTAGTGTAAGTTAGGGCGACAACCTATGTAGAAAACTGTGAAAACCTTTTAGTATCAATTCCGTGGTGGTAGCAGATATCTTGTGGTAATCCATATTGACTTGCCTGTGGAGGGGTGAACTCCACTTTACGGAGAAGTACTAATTTCTAAAGGTTTTCGTGACTATCACACAATATGCAAGATATGAACTGGTATCGGCTCAGTAAGCTTTGAATAAATAAGAGCGAATTTCTCATGAGCAAAAGTGCAAGGTTGATGATTGTCTCATGTTGTAACTGTTTACAAGGCGTAATCTGACTGGACAAATTAAAGTATTGTTTGTTAAAAGGTATTCATTTTGTGAATATGAGCATTTGAAACTAAAACTTGGTACAGGCAGTTTGGCATTTAATTATTTATTCTTGTTAAGTTTGTTTCTAATTGATGCTCTCTCATTTTGTATGTTTATAGATATAGTTTGTTTTCAGCATCCTAAAATGGACATTATTCTGATTTCAGTATGCTGTACATTGATGTAAGCTGTTTTGATATATTCTGTATAAATATTTGTCAAAATTCTAAATTTTGTAAAAAAGGGCATGACTAACATCTTTGCAAATATTGTATGTATTTATCATATGAATGAGCTACGCTCTTCTTTTTGAATAAATTTGTAAATTGATTGTTAGAAAGCCTGTGGATTTTGTTGTCTCACCTTGAAGGGGCAGATCCTGTAGCGTTCAGAGTAACCCTACCTTCATCACTTCCTTGCGAAGGTCCTTGATGCTAGGAGTTTATGTTGGCTCCGCTCAGTTCATTTGGTGGCTCGAATCTTTTGACTTAGAAAATTTTGATTAAAATTTCCTACCTTTTATGTAATAATTGAAGGGTTTAAGGATAGGATTCAAAGTTGTCGCAATTAAACTTGCGGCTGGCGACCGTTAATAATTGTTAAATTATTTATTAAATTAGCTCGCCACCAGTAAAACAACACAGGGCATCAATTGATGTCAATGCAGTTTTATGAGACATATAAAGTTTTATTCCTTTTGTACAAAAAGAAGTCCTATTTTAGACAGTTTTGGCACTAGCACTACTGTAATGTCATTTTAGAGTGTATTTAATAGTGGGATAATAAACAAGAGCGCGAATTGTTATGAAACTTAGATATAACATTCAATATACATATATTCATTTTATTTGCACTTAAAAACAACATAGAACACTTCTATACGTAACTTGCTATTTACAGTTTTGTCCCTGGGTTCGAACGGGTTGAATGAGCTAAAATTGTTCCCGTACTATTTTATAAAATACAGATCCAAATATTTCTTACAGAGTGTCTGTTTGTACAACGTCTTGATATGTGAATGTATTTGCTCAAAGCCTATGTAGACAGGAACAAATATCTGGTAAGAGCATTGTTGGGTGGTGATGTACTGTGTCGTTGCAGTCGGATAACAACGAATTGTCACGAGTGACGCCATCATTAAGCATTCGACACGAGACGTTAGTTCATGACTGCACTAGAGTACGCGGACGCGAAAAGTAGGTAATAGTGTTGTCGTTGTGGTCTAAATACGGATACAATCGAGCGCACGAACACGATGCAGGCATATTGCGTGGCTGCACCCTTGCTTGCTCACTAGTGTGTCGATTAACAGTATGGCAGAATACGTGACAAGAATGGCAGAAGCTGGGATACCCAGAGTCCTAACAGGATAGCATGGCATAATGCAATATTAGCACGTGCGGAGAGTACTTTGTACGGAGGTGACCCACTTCGTAGGTAAGCAAACACACCAGCACACAAATAACTTTCTTATTAACAACAGCGATAAATAATTCCTTTTTTATTTGGGGTAAATATTTATATTTTCGTTTAGTTAACTAAATATGCTCATTAATTCCATGGCAAGTCGTGGATTATCACTATGTTTATTGCATGCGTGCAATTAAAACTTAACCATGCAATTAAAAGTCTACAACTGTCAATCAGAACTCAGAGAACGAATCCAAATCGTTTAATTATGTATCTATAACACAGACTTAGCCAAGGTATTTCCAAACTGCCATGAAACGTGAACGTCACAGATTACGTACATAAAACATATAATTAATGAACGAATGAAACAAAATTATAAACGAATCACTACATCTTAGAGAATCATTTTACATTTCATGTTAATATTTGTAGTACAATTAATTAAATTTGAAACTGTTACCCTACTTATACTTGGCATCACTCATCCTAGCCCAGAAGTCGCTTCATATTACACAAGTACGTTTACTTCACCTATTTGAACGTCACGGCCCAGGAAGAGCTGCTGTAATTGCAAACCTCCTTTATTATTTTTACAAAATCAAGTAAATTGTTTATAATTTAAAATATCGATATTCTCCTTAACACACCACGTCTTCAACATAAACAAGTTAATTTGATACTAACTGACTAATGGAACAACATAAAATATTTAACATGAATAAATGTGTTATGTTTACATCATTTTGTCTTAGCATATTACAAATATAAAAAATGTAATTGTCAGTTGTATTTACCTGTTCTGAAAAGTACACCATCAAAACGTCTGCGTTAGAACTAGATCGTCTTTCTCCTTTCCAACATTGACACGTGTTTTTCTCTCATACATACAGTTTCTGCAAATTCCTTTCCAACCATCTAAGCAATATTTCGCAGCCTCAATAGTTCTTTTTAGTGATAGCAATGCTACTTGGGAGAGATATCGATTTAGCTACGGTCATTCAATAATTTCGAAACTTCTTCAGGTGAACAAAATTACTTTAATCATAACTGTTAAATAATTGCCTTTACAGACTAAATAAAAAATTGTGATTTAGATCATGATAACGTCAACAGTTATTCCTTCAAACGATATGAGATGACAAATGAGAATATTTCAGATTATACTCGTATTATAATGTATTACGGGTGTAAAAGTCTTATGTTATATCTGTCAGGATACACAACTTATGCATTTTGACAATTTTCTATCAGTGTGAATTGTTTTACTGGATTTATCAAAAAATACCTGAAGGACATTAGTGAAACGCGCACGAGTAAGCTCCCCGTTCAAACATCAAAATTGATGAAGTAAGGACCCAAAATATTAATAGAGATCTGACAGTGAGAGTGTTCTCATTTTTAGTTGATTACATGAATAGAATATTACCTAATCCTGTTTAGAAACACATTGTGTATGAAATGCACACAAAAGCATATGAAAAGCTGCGTTGGAAATACAGATCGACATCTCATGAACACAAGTATTCTCAGAATCAGCAAGCAAAAGGTGACGTAGTTTTAAAAAACTGACGGAAAGAAGCGCCACCAAAAAGATGATTGCAATCACGTAATCGATGTAAAGAACCTTTACATAAGAACCCAAGAGTTATTATTAGTTCAAGGAAATTAGTCATTTAAAAATGATACCTTATACCTTCAAGCGCCTTTCCCTGTAAGTGTAAATGAAACGTAATGAACGCGACTTTGAACGGTGAGTTCACTTATGTTGCGTAGTTGAGAGCAAAGTGTAAGAAGTCAATACTTATCTTGATGCTATTTTTACTGATGAAGGACTAGTGGTGGTGATTAAGAAAGTATGCACTTCTAGGTGGCGGAGATTTCTTATTCAATTCCAGATGTTCAAGACCAGTAGTAGTGGAATATTATTGTTGAGAGTGGAGCGATATACTTTTTTTGTTGTTTCGAATTTCATTAATGAATGTGTTTCAAGCTAGAATTCTATGTTATTTTCCAAATCTATTAGTAATTCCCTGGCCAAGATCAACATCATCATTAACATATGTAATCCCAGGAGTACTTTGGAAATTCTGGATATATATTCACGACTCGGCAAACGAGAAGAATTTATCTGATAATTTCCAAAGTACGATTTACTAAAACTATTACACTCATGAAATTTAAACCACTGATTCGTCTCCTGCATCTGCTTTGTTAAGAACGTGAATGTGCAATTTCGAATATGCATGTGCTTCCGTTCGCTAACATTACTCACAGTTCTGATTTTCTCCAAATTCACCTAGCGTGTTTCAAATTTAATGTTAGAAGATAATGCTGTATATGGGTGTTTGCAAATTTATTATTTAAAATACTGGATTACGGACTAAACACTTTACCTTATATATTCAAAGCAGCATAATTATTGACAGTTATGACTCATGCTTTAAGGTGTTTCAAAACAATCAGTGATATCATCATCGAAGAAGAAAATTATGGCGTAGTGGAGCAAAAGTGGCCCTTAGGAACTCGAATTTAATCCACGTCACCTGCATCGATCTATTTAGGTCCTATTTAGGTCTCCATGAGTCCACTAAGTTTACAGCGATAAAAACGCAAGAAAGAATCTTCTGACCGAATCCGCAAACAAATGAACGCATTGTGTCAATTGAAGACGCAACAAATTAAAAAAAAAAACACTCTTCAGTGCCCAGAACCGATGTATACTTAGGCTCGTGCGCGGGGA